CTTCTGACTTCCTCCCGTTCGTATAGCTATGTGATCTGCAGCTGTAGATCATTTCTGAGTGTATCTAAAGTACGATTCATTGGTCTGCCGCGACCATCTACTTCCGGTGCAGACTATTCTCGAAAAGCGGTGCTCTTCCGGTATGTCCTCTTGCGTTGACGTTTTGTGTGGTTATGAGGTTGTGGGTATGTCGAGAACTGGCGGGTTTGGAGGTGTTTGGTGGGCTGGGATCGCAGATAACAATTGGAACCATTCAGACCTCTGAGGAAGACGAAGGCGTCGAAACGTAGGACCGTGATTGGGAGAAGAATAAAACATCGCTTAACAAACCTGTTCGGCACAGTAGTCAGAAGTACAACGAATGCCCAGGTTTTATGAAAACGGGACATGAAAATTTACTTATCTCTGACAATCTCTAGATGCGAGTTATTTTGATACCAGTGCGTCACCTGCTTCGCAGAGGCTCGCACTGGCTCTTCTATCTATATGCCATACTCATTTCCGCATAACATGGCATTGAAACATACCGCGCAATGCCCGCCTTCACGAATGATTCGTAAACAACTACTCATTGCTCAAGCTTTTTCGTTTAAGATCGGTATCTTGCGTGGATGGAACTTTGGAATATGAAGAACAAATGCAGAATTGAAACACTCCTAAGATTTTTCATTTCTTGGTAGTCACCATAAGGATATTATCCACGGCGGGCTATATCCCTGCGCAAAAGTCTTCTCAAATGCTCAGGTAAAAACCTGGCAAATTGACCATTTACGCAAATATTTCGTTTTGGCGCCTTTCTCGTGGAGCAGTAGACATCCATCACTTTTTTGGGCTGAAATCATGGCTTGCACATCACTTGGCAAATATAATCACGACTTTGCTATAAGTGGTAATACGGACTTAATATTGCGCGTTAGAAGTTAAGTGGATTCGTTTGGCGTGCATTGAGGGACCTGCTCAATGGATCTGCTCGTGCTTTGGCATGGTGAATGTGGATGGTGGCAGCGCGTGTTGTGCAAAAAATTGCGGCTTGAAACCTTGTCTGCGACTCATTCTGTGAATTTCGTTAGGCCCCGGACAGACTTCACGCGATTTGATCGTCGCGACTCAATCGCGACGAGACACCTGTTACAACATCATTCCATGCCGATCAACTTGCATTTCGGTTGTGATACTTTTCCAGCCCAAAATTTTTGAATGTGAAATGAAAATGAATGGAAATGTCGGCGATTGAGTCGCGACGATCAAATCGCGTAGTCTGTCCGGGGCCTTACGGACACACGCAAAAACACGTAAACACCCTTAGCACGTTATTTCAAGTCATGATCAGGGTTGAGCGTGGGGTCAGGCGCGCCTGACCTGGGGGGTCGTATGTGGGTGGAACCGAGGGCGGGGGGTCGTATTTGGGGGTAGGATCATAAATCGTCTAAAACTATATGAAATGCAGTACAGATCTTCCAGGCACTGGTAAAGAGCAAGTCATCTCTCTTCATTATCGTTACTTTTATTAAGTTCTTATTCTAGTTAAGGTAAGAAAATTACAAACATTGTTATTAAGTAAGAAACAGTAAATGAACTGATGGAAAATGGTACAAAGCTATGTAGGTTCTCGCATCTGAAAATCATATGTGCCAGTCCTGCTCTATTTATGAGACTGCTCGCCAGCCGTCTGTTGCTCCGGCTGTCAACGAGAGCTTGAAGAATTACTGGATAAACGCGAAGTATATTAAAAATGGAACTGGCAAGAGATTTGATTGAGATAACATTGATCTGACTGGACTTACCAAATTGCCGTATGCCTACCGTAACCCCACCAAAGGTCTCATAAAAGCAAGTGAATGCTACTTCCGTGATCAGCATGCAAAATAACACTTTGTGGACCCTTTATATAATTTTCTATAACAATTTTTCATCTTCTCTAATGGCTGGAAGACGCTGTTTTCAAACATGATTAACTTGATTTCAACGATCAAAAAGTCAACTTTTTACACTTGTTGCAAAGTATTACTCTTCTTTAATATACCTTATCAATTTCGTCTCAAACCATCATAGAGTAATGGTTTTATAAGCCCCATCAAAACTTCGAAAATGGCGCTTTTCACCTCGACTGGATTTACTGCGTGAGCTCCTAGGAAACTAAAACAAGACGAATCTGCTTCACACATCTCGTACCGCATTTACGATGTTTGTGCTAACGAATCATATTAAACTTCTTCTAGAAAGTTGCTTTTGAGATGAAGTTAATAGGGTCAGGCGCAACCCCTCAAAAGCTCAGGCCGCCTGAGCTTTTGAGGGGTTGCGCCTGACCTCATTAACTTATCTTCAAACAGCTCAAAACTTTCCATTTTTTCACTCAAACTTTTGAATGGTCCTTTCTCTTCCCACCGCCGAAATTTTATACGATTTCATCACCTCTCGAAAAAGCTATCGGTGGTTAATCCTACCCATGTGCCGAAGACGATTGGTCGTAAATCCTCCCTTGTTTTCGTCCTACTGTAGGTACGCATCTTGTGCAAAGTTTCTGCACGGGGGGATAAGAACTGCGGCAAGCTCGATTTTTCAAGCGGTCGTTCCATTTTTTCGTCGTCACAGGAGGGCCGACTCCATTGTGGAGTTTCACTTTACTTTCCTTTTCCTAGATGGAGACCGAAAGATTAGTCTTGTGACATTCGCACATTCTACTCGAGTGCTTTTTGTCCATTTGCTTGAAGAAGTCAAATGGGTGAAATCGTCGAAATATTCGAATCATGTGCCGTAAGTTGAGTTAAGTTAAGTTGTCTTTTACTTGGCTTCTTCCTTTTTATCATTTTCCTCATCCTGGGTTTTTGATTTTTCCTTTGCAGGCAATTTGCTACCTTTTGGATCAACAGTCGCAATTTCTTATCAAGACTGCTGACTGTCTAGTAGCAATATGCAGAGAGGAGCTTGTGGTTGCTCGTCTTTCTGCCTTTCAAGCGACCTTTGCTGTTGATGTGCTAACCAAGGTATGCATACTCGTTTGGTCCACGGTTTAGGCCTGCAATGCAGAATCTATGTAATTTGCCTATCTTCACCTTCTTGCTATGATTTAAGAACGATTTACTCTAAAACCAAAAATCTCCTCAGTGAATGAAGCAGATTTTGCTGCGGCTAAATCAGGTTGGATCTGTTTATCTTGCTTTTTTCAAATTTCTTTTGTATAAGGTGATTTGTAGGTTTTGCAATATCGAACATCAAAGTTGCTTCGTCGTGGTTTCCTCTTATCAAAGATATTGTTGTAAAGAACGGCATGGAGAATTTTTTGTACTTTCTGCGTTTTTTTACTTTTGAGACATTTACAGCATTGCCATTCCTGAAGAGTTTGAAGTGCATCTGACACTTTTCGGTGAAAGAGAGTCAATTCAGTGGACGCTTTTGGATATAAATATGCTTGTCAGACTATGAAATCGTTATGGAGCCAAACTCGTGCATTCTTTGCAGCTGAATATGCTACACAAGTGCTGCAGTCTAGAACGGACATTGCGAAGAATGTTGGTGTTGTCTTTGCAGCTTTCCTGTCCCTCAATTTTGTTCTATGGTCGCATTACTATATTGCTTTGAGAGTGAAGACGCTGTTTTAAAGATGCGGCATTATCCGACTGCACTGGATCTTGGACAATAAGACGATAGAACAGGGTGAGGAGATCTATGCATGTTCATCCTGAAGTTTCGGTTGTTTTATAGGCGCCTTTCGAATGATCGTCTTTTGTCGGAAACCTTAGAGAACGGCCATAGGTTGTCGTTGTTGTCGGTGTTATCGATGTTGTCGGTGTTCTCGGGGCTGCCGAGGTTTCCGGTCGCTGTAGGACCTCATGATAGCCTCCATGTTTCGCGCATTCTCTAAACTGTCTCTGACACCGAACCGACAACACCGACAACCTACCTCCGTTCCCTTAGGTGCATCTGCTCGATCCATCAATACAAGTATAGATGTAAAGTAATGTAAAAATAGAAGGTGCAAGAAAATGTTTTCAAGTAAAGAAGATCATCTTCGCAAAAATAAATGATACTGACCTTGCTTCTGTGTCATTAGGAGAACCAGGAGAACCTTGTCGAAAATGTGGATCCAACGCATCTACATCACGGAGGAAAAAACACGATCAATGAACAAAATTGCAAGACAGGAAAGCTGCAAAGGCAACACCGACATTTTTCGCAATGTCCATTTTAGACTACAGCACGTTGTATAGCATTTTCAGCTGCAAAGAATGCACGAGTTCGGCTAAATAACGATTTCATAGTCTTTGACGAGCATTTTTATATTCAGAAGCGTCCACGGAGTTGGCTCTCGTCTCTCGTCTTACGAGTACAGTACTGTCAGATGCACTTCAAACTCTCCAGGAATGGTAAATGAGCTGTGTCTCAAAAGAAAAAAATCGCAAGAAGCACCAAAGTCTAAATATGACTTTCGATTTTGGACCTTTTTTGAAAATCTGTTGCACTTAATAAATTTTTTGTAATAGTAAGAGTGTACACAGAAAAGAAATGTGCAGAGGTGGGTGGGGAGGGGGAGGGGAGAGGGGGAGAGGGGGGGGGTCGTATCTTAGCATCACCACAGGGGAGGGTCGTATTTGGCAGCCTTGCGCCTGACCTCTTGCTCAACCCTGGTCATGATGCTTATCACGCGCAGCAGCCCAACCTTTGGTGCAAAATCGAACATGAACGAGTAGCTCTTCTTTACGAAAGCTCATCTAATGCTGAACGATGGTTAAAATGCATTATGCAGATATCAGCACGTTTTAGGCCCCGGACAGACTTCACGCGACTTAATCGTCGCAATCTAATCGCCAAGATTTCCATTCATTTTCATTTCACATTCAAAAATTTCGGTCTGGAAAAGTATCACAACCGAATGCAAGTTGATCGGCGTGGAATGATGTTGTAACAGTTGTCTTGTCGCGATTCAGTCGCGACGATTAAATCGCGTGAAGTCTGCCCGGGGCCTTACACTGCTAGACAAAACAAGGTTTAAGCGAACTTACGATTATCCATGGCCTTATTATCAGTGAATGTAAACCTCATGAAGTAATTACCAGGGCACTGTATGGTAGGGTTCTGCGGAGGAGTATATTTGATCGCCTGATAGATAAGAGAGAATGCCGATTATGATTATTAAGCAACAATAAAAATCTTACTTTTGGATCTTTGTAACAATTCTCTTTAGAAGGACAAAGATTGGTATCGTACAGGTCGTTAGGACATGGACGCTGACCTAAAGATAAAGCACTAATATCCATGCAACGGAGGATGCAGAAATTCGGTCCAAATTTCACGCGATTTGATTATCAAAATTAACACGTTGCGACTATGTTTTACTAAATTGTTTCAGTACTGAAATGCTGCAAATGTTTTTTTTTATCAATTTCAGGTGGAAGCAATCTTTTCTCTCTTACCTGTCGTACCTTGGAATGATAGACTAAGAGTAAGAAGTGCAGTGTAAGCCAGGTTGAATGGAAGCATTTGCAGTCCCTATAAGATTATCCTTGGAATGACACTGTTCTGCAAAACCTATTTCAGCAAATGCTCGCTACAGCAATTTTAGTATTTCATAGTTCTAACGAGAGTCTTTCCGTGGAGCTGAGAATAATCAGACGTTGTTTCAAACTTAAGTTCTAATAAAGTTTTTTTTGATTTTGTTTGCGAGTTAAAATCGACTTTATCCACTGCCGACAGACTGCCCAGATTTTGATGCAATCCCATGCTCTACAGCAGACACGAAAAAAATTCAAACATTATACTACAGACAAGTCTTTCAAAACCACCAGCATCGCAAATACGGTCATTTTTGTTTCAAAGCAAGAAAGAGATTCAGCGTGTAAGCTGCTGATCCTCCTGCACCAAAATAGATTATGGAGAGTATTGAAAGGCACACATAAGGCAAACATTTGCTTTTTTGTGAAAGAGTTTTCGGAACTTAAGGGGCTCCGGTGGCATATTCGTGAATGACGAGCAACGATAGTATGAGAAGTCTATCGGCTGAATCACAGAGCAAAGGCAAACACCTGCATGTATTGGCGTCTTTTATGCAGATACAACATTAATTTATCTTAAGTGAGCGTATCATGCATTTTGATAACCTCAGTCCATTTGTGGGCGCACTTGACAGTACATTGCTATTCCTCCAATCACATAACGTTTGACAGTGTGAGCATATAAATGAGTGACAGCTTGGCGATGGATTTTTAAAACATCGAGCACGTCATCATCGATAATGCTGAATGTTCAGCTGTTAGCTAAATAGAAGCAGAATAACTGATAATCAGAGATTACAAACTAATGATGGAATTTTGCAAGAATTTTCTGTGAAAAGGAGTTACACTGAATTTTTTTTACAGTGAAGGATTTTGAGAAACTTTGTGCTGTGGAAGGGTCATTATCATAAACCTACATTTACTTTCATATTGTACATCGAAAGTAGGCTCCTTGCAATTCTCAAACAACGAGAGATGTAGTTAAAAATAAGAGAAATTAGTTTCTGATCAAGCAGCAATTCTTAACGACTCTCAGTCGAAACAATCGACATTTCTTATCAAGTAAGCGAACGATGATTGAAGTAGACGTTGATGTACTTGTATTGCTTACAACAACCCAATTTCTTTCTGCCTTAAGAATCAAAAAAGTACAATGGGATCAGTTATTAGTATTCTAAGGTCGATTTATCTGTGTTCTTTGAACAATGAGAGGGCTTGAGACTAGAAAAACAGAGTTCTATGGTGCGAAGGATGTTCCAGTCATAATATGTTTCGCTCCGCTATCAAAGTTCGGATATCGCAAATTGCATTCAAATCACTGGAAAAGCCATACCGGTTGCCAATCTCAAACGTATTCCACTGCATCACAATCCCATGAATTCCGCAAGACCTGAGAATCTTGCAACATGTCGTAATTTTCCAAAATCTTATGCAATTTCCATTTTGGGGCTTTTTTCTTCGCACCGAAAAAAGGCATGAAAGGCAAATCGGCAGTACGCCTTATAGAATAAGCTCAAGCTCTGCATGAGATGTTGTCATTGTTTCCCTATGTCAGAGTCTAACCGGGCTCTATTTCCAACGTTATGGTAATTGCTTGAACCGTAGGAACGGAATTATGCCTTACGACATTAGCGATGAGGCGGTGTGGTAGTGCTGCAATAACAGATGACTTTATTTGTGTGTTTTTAAAAATCATTACTTGCCTGACGCCGCGCGAAATATCGACCAAATTTTTAGCTGCAGCTGAATATCTTAGTTTTATCTTTACTAGCTTTTTTTGACCGTACAAACTACGCCATTCGCGCGAGGGTAATGCTGTTAGAGCATTTCCGTACACCGCCGTCGCGCGCGGCATACCCTTTCGTAGCTTTCGATGCAAAAAAAAACGATAAAAGCTTGCCGCGTGGTCGCGTGTTTGGTCAGGGCACTTTGGGTGATCACTGACACTTTCCTGCTAAAGGGCCATTCCACAACTTTCAAGCAATTGGTAGATGACTCATCGCCCGAACAGATAGTGCCGCTACATTCAATGTGCTAATGAGAGAATGGTCGGTGGTCAAAGCAGCCACTTCACACAAGTCGCATAAGATTGTGCACTGTAGGACGCTGACTCTGATTCTTTCTGCCACATCTCCTGAATCTTTGTGCACGAAGTTATAATCCATTCTATCGGAAAAGAGGTGCTTGCCATATAGAGCCGTGTCTGGCTCAGTTCCGACCACATCTTGTACTTAAATTATGTTAAACATACCATACCCAAAAGTAAGCCAAAGAGGCAATAATGTGCCTAACTTCGCATTTTGTATGTGCAATTCCTTGCATCAAATCTGCCCATAATTTTGTTCACACAAAGGCGTTTACCAGGAATGGAAGACAGATTTGAAGTTAGCTTTTTATGCCGCACTCAATAGTTTGCAGTTGTTTGGACTGATTACTTCGACTTCTTTCCCATTCCTAGCTGTTTTCCATACAGGATTGAAGGACGCATTAGGTGAGTTAGTTTTTCCAAATGATTGTCTATTTATAATAATATGAATAAAGGAAATTCATTCTTGAAGACAAATATTTCGATGATTATATATTACTAGCTGGCTTACCCGGCTCCGCCGTATGTTCCGAATAGAAAATTCCATTTCTTAACCGATCCGGACCAAACTTGGCACACATACACTTCGGGCCCCGGCGGGTGTCACAGTCCACTTTTCGTTATCGATCGATGTCGATTTTATCGATCGATGACGAAAAGTAGCCTATGACACCCGCCGGGGCCCGAAGTGTATGTGTGCAAAGTTTGGTCCGGATCGGTTCAGAAATGGAATTTTCTATTCGGAACATACGTGCAGACAGACAGACAGACAGGCAGACAAACAGACATTCAGCTTTATATATAATCCTTGTGTACCTTCACCTGCGGAACTAACAGACAAAACCTGCATGTAACGATACAAGTCATTAGGATTTCATAACTCTTTACTTTTGCGTAACATGTGATAGTGAAATTTTGAAAAGTTGAGGTTTCACATGCGCTTTGGGTAGCAGACCATGTGACGGATTGGGAGCTTTTTCGTTCTAGTCCATGCCATTCTCCATTCACCATTTTCGCATTTTATAAATTTCCAATCACGTTTTACTATCACTGCAAATGTTCAGTTCAATACACGGAAAAGTGGACACTTGGTGCAAAAAAATTCCGCACCAGATACTGTCTCTTGAACTAATATGCCATAGTGGCTGCGGGAAGTTTCTCACCCTAGCATTTTTCTTCTCACCTTCACTTAGGTGCCATATTCTCGCACCTAACAATAAGTGAAGTGCTGTCAAGCACATTCGGACTCGCTATATTTCGAGCTCCTTAGGATACTATGACATGGGCATTTCAAGCCCCATTCTCCCCCCCCCTCCCTTAGCTCAGATGCTGGAACTGAAGATACAAAGAAAGTTTCTCAAAATCAAAGTTCAGGGGCGAAATTGTTATGATCAAGACCAAATTCCGGATTTAGAGGTTCCGAGGCTGATCTTTCCAGCAGCGAAAGTTATTTGTTGAAAAGTCAAGATTTAGCACCGATAACTCTTAACGCAGATCAAAATTTAGATCTATGGGTTTTCGAAATCTCTTTTTCAAAACGAGACCAAAATTCAGGCTTACTGACTCTATTGAATTATGAATGATGTTGAAAAAAATATCCGCAACACGAATTTGTATGGATATCAGTCGTGGAACCAGAATATGGTTGAATCAGAGTAGATTGAAGCGAACTTCAAACTGGTACGTGTGAGAAAACTATTGATATCGGGTGTAAGTTGAATTCAACCTCGAACAAAGTTTCTGAAATTTCAAAGTAGCCGAGTTAACCTCAAAATTCTGCAGTCGCATGCAGCAGTTGCTTCCAACGATAGCCATATCTGCGTCCACGTTTGTGCAGATTTTAGTTAAAGACAGATGATTTGAAATGCGAGCAGAAAGCCGATCAGCCAAAATTGTCCTCAGGCAAACAATGGCGGAAAAACAGTTAAAGGCACCGTGTACCTTAAGTCGAGGGTCTTGATTTGGCAGCATATGATGTAGGGCCCCCTATCAAGCCAATGCCCAAGTGCGGATCAAAATGCCGCTTTGGAAGCGAGAAAATCGCTCAGGAATAACGAAGATGCATGAGGACTCCCAGACGGCACCGCCCTTCCCAGTCATGTCCGCCCATCCGTGCGTCATCCAATCACCGTTCCGGCAAGCCGGTCTGTGGGTTCTCCGAAACGGGGATTTTTGGGGGTTTGCGGATTCTCGATTTCATAATTGGAATCGGGAACATGTGAAGCCCCCTTAACGACAAAACATGTGAGTCTAGAATGTGGGTGGACGGCGCCTTTAAGGCCGCGCTATCTCTTATAAATAGCGAGAGAATCAGTATCCAAACATGCTATGACGTTTTCCGATAATCTGATGAATCTTGATAGCCTGATTCTGACAGTCTTTAATGAACAAATCTCATTAAAAAGAGCAGCCTCGAAACCCCTTAATCCGAAATTTGGCCTTGATTTGGAACATTCTCGCCACTGAATTTCGATTTCGAAACCTTCTTTGAAATCCCGGTTTCAGCGTCTGGAGCGACACTGGATAAAGAGACGGGACCTGCATTGCCTCTTGGTATCCTGAGGAGCTCTAATCATAGTAAGGCCGAATGTGCCTGACAGGCACTCATTTAGGTGCGAGAATATGGCTCGGGTGAGGAACTTCCTCCCCCCCCCTGCCATAGTCGCTAAATATTCATGAAGTAACTCTGATAATGATGTTTCTCACAACCGCTGATATACTTCAGAACTTGGCTAAAAAAGGAGATTCCGAAGAAGACTTTTGTTCATCACAGCTACAAGTTTGTTTTTGATCGCAAAGTGTTCAGAAGTCTGTACAATTCATCACTTGAAAAAAGCGTCATAGGACTTTAATGCCGGAGCATTGGCGCAGGAATAAAATAAATTTTCTTATTTCTGACAATGTCTAAATGCGAGTTATCTTGATATGCTTATCACGCGTAGCGCCCGACATTTAGTGCAAAATTGAACATGAACGAGTAGCGCTTCTTCACGAAAACTCATCTAAAGCTAAACGGTGGTTGAAATGCATTATGAGATACCAGCACGCTGTACATAGCTAGACAAATAAAACAAGGTTTAAAGGCAGCGTACACCCAAAGTTTCGCCTTCGATGTTTTTGTCATTCTGGGGCCTTTCTGTGCCGCTGATTACAGTTATGACATTGAAATCCTCCAAAAGTCCCAAAAAGCCCCGATTTCCGAAGACCCTTTCTTCAAAGGGAGGACGAGTTTCCAACTGCTCGGCCCCGTCGGAATGCAATCGAAAAGCAGCTACAACAGCATGACGCTTGTAGTTGCAACTGCAAATGCTGCGTATGCTGTCGTGGATCCGTCGTCCGAAGGAGGCAGAACGCAAGAAGCAACTGCATTGTTGCATCTGCTGTTGCGTTTGCAACAGCAAGTGCAACTGCAACTGCAGCTTACGCTGTCGTGGATTCGTCCGGAGAAGGCGGAGTGAAAGAAAAGGGGCGGAATGAAAGAAAATTGAGGGGGGTTTTCTCCGCTCAGAAGCAACATTGGGAGACCGGACCAACGCAGTTGGTCTTCTTCTGGGCCCAGTATATACACGGTATAGAAAAATTAAGAAAATTAGGTAACTTAGATTTTGGGTGTACGCTGCCTTTAAGTGAACTTACAATTATCCATTGTCCTACTATCGGTGAATATAAACCTCATGTAGTAGTCACCAGGGCACTGTATGGTAGGGTTCTGTGGAGGGGTATATATGATCGCCTGACAAATACGATTATGAGAATCATTATGAGAATGCCGATTATGCTCACTCAACAATAAAAATCTTACTTTTGGATCTTTGTAACAATTTGCTTTGGAAGGACAAAGTCTAGTATCGTACAGGTCGTTAGGGCATGGACGCTGACCTAAAGGTAAAGCACTAATATTCATGCAAGGGGGGTTAGGATGTAGAGATTCGATCGAAATTCACGCAGTTCGGTTAACAAATCTAACATGTCGCGACTATGGTTTACTAAATTGTTCAGTACTGAAATTGCTGCAAATGTTTTTTTCCCAACTTCAGGTGAAAGCAATTTTTTTCTCTCTTACCTGTCGTAGCCTGGAGTAATAAACCAAGGAGAATAAGTGCAATGTAAATCAGGTTGACTGGAAGCATTTGCAGTCCCTATAAGGATATCCTTGAGATGACACCGTTCAATAAAACTTAATATGATTGTTTCAAACATAGCTGCATTAAAAAATTCTTTTGACTTGTTTGCGAGTTAAAATTGCCTCTAACCACTGCCAATAGACTGCCCAAATTCTAATGCAATCCCATGCACTGCAGGATACGAAAAAAATCCAAACGTTAACTACACAAGTCTTTCAAAGCACTGGCATCATCGTAAGTATAAGGCATTTGAAAGATCGTGATGGTGGCGCGATCGCGCGCGATACGCACGCGCCTTGCGGAAATCGCATTTTCTTGGTTTTCATCTCTACTCTGATGGTTTTTTGCTTACGCATGATAATATCTAGACGCTGGAAGTGACTGAGCTGAAAATTGAGGTGACGCCTTCTTGCATGAGCGTTTTATGCTTCTGTGGGCGCAAAGTCCGCAGTGAAATCCGTCACGATTTCGTGAGTGAACTACACAGTAATTTTTGTTACAAAGCAAAAAAGCGGTTCAGCATGTAAGCTGCTGATCCTTGCGCCTACCAGAAACGGATTATGGGGAATACCGACAAAGGCACACGCAAGGCAAATATATACTTTCTTGTGAAAAGGTTTCCGGAACTTAGGTGGCTCCGGTGGCAGGTTCTTGAATGACAAGCAACGATAATATGAGACCTTTACTGCCTGTACAGAGCAAAAGCAAAGATCTGCATATTCAGAGTCTTTTGTACAGGTGCAACAGAGAGGCATTTCAAGTGAGCGTATCGTGCATTTTGATGATCTCAATCCATCTTGAATGCATTAGCATTGCACATTGCCAATTCTCCAATCACTTAAAGGCAGCGTCCAGGCAGATATGGACCTATGGGGATTTTGCGTAGAAAGTAGTTTTAGGGTTCTAACTAAGGCACTGCTCAAGCAGCAGCGCAGGTAGTGCTCTAATGGCTGAGATATTCCCCTCGAAACTGGACCCCGCGATCGTACTCGCATGGATTCATGGCAGTTTCGCGCCAGGACACACGCTTTGCGCCATGAATCCATGCGGATACGATCGCGGGGTCCAGTTTCGAGGGGAATGTCTCAGCCGTTAGAGCACTACCTCAGCTGCCGGTTGGGCAGTGGCTTAGTTAGCGCCCCAAAATTACTATTCACGTGAGATCCCCATCGTCCAGACTTGCCTGGACGCTGCCTTTAAAGTGTTTGACAATGTGAGCGCATAGATGAGTGACGGCGTGAGGATAGAATTCTATAACATCAAGCACGTCATCATTGATACTGCTAAATGTTCAGTTAACAACTAGGGAGGAGCAGAATATAACTAATAACGTTTAGTGATAGTACAAAATGAAGACAAAATTTTGTGAGACCTGTGAAAAAGAGTCTACACATTAATTTCGTTTCAGCAAAGATGAAATGTTGTACGATGGGAAAGTTATTATCATACACCAACATTTGCTTTATGTTGTAAATCGGAAGTAGCGCTCCTTACCGCTACTGCTACGATGTACTTCTGTTGCCTACAACAATCCTATCTGTTTTTGCCTCAGAAATCAAAAAGTGAATTAAGATCAACATTAGTAATTCTAAGTTCATTTATCTATTCTTTGAATAATGAAAACAAGGCGACTTAAGACAGATATAACAGGGTTTCATGGTACGAAGGATGTTTTAGTCATAATAAAGCCCCGTAGCTCAAACTTTGCAAAAAAATCGATGAAATCGATAAAAGTAGCGGATATTTTCAAAAACTAATATCAGGCTCGGCATGACGTGGCTAAATGAAAATGCAAAGAAGGAAGGCTCCCTTGACTTTTGCTAATTTTTACGAAGTCCCCTTTGACCCTAGACCGTAACCCCTAAAAAATCTCCAAAAAACGAAACGTCGACAAAAAAACGCAGAATTTTGAGCCTTTTCGGCCATGAAAACGAAACCCCCTTGCTTTTTGTCCTAAAAAGGATACCCAGCTTGCTTATAAGCCACCTGTGCCGAGCCCTGACTGATATTGTATTCGTAATCAGCATGCTCGATCCCCCCCCCCTCCACCCCCTGTGCCAACTCCCAGCCCCGCAAGTCAAACTTCGCGATCGATAATCGATAAAAATCGATAAAATCGGTATGAATCGATAACGAAAAGTAGCCTACGACACCCGCCCCGCCCGAAGTTTATGTGTGCCAAGTTTGGTCCTGATCGGTTGAGAAATGCAATTTTCTATTCGGAACATACCTACATACATACATACGTACATACATACATACATACAGACAGACATTCAGCTTTATATGTAAGGCTGTGCGGAAAACATAAATGCTTGATCGAATTTGCTTTGCATTCTAGCGCCTGCGACACAAATTTACAGAAGCAGAAAATGCTATCCCTGAGTAAGATATCTGGAACAAAAATACACTTGTTCTTTTGCCGATTCCCAGTCAATCAGTATATTATATGTATTCAACGCTTTACACATACATTCCCATAAAATTTTGAGCACTTGAAAGTGTTTTTGCTAATTTTCAAGTTTACATGAGGCTTGCAGGTCAGATTTCTGTTTGTTTCAGTAATTGTGCAGAAATTAATGCTGTTTTTGAAATTAAAGCAATGTGCTGAGAAGTTTCCACTTCCTAGATTTCCGCGAGCATCATCAATCTGCACCTTCGCAAACGATCCGAATTATGAAAGTCTATTGGAAACTTAGCTTGAAGGTAGTAAAAGGCTGGTTAAACAGCTTGTGCAGAAGAGTACCCAAATATTAAAGAAGTTAAAGCTATTTGCAAGCACTAAGTTCCGATAAATTTAGATACAACTTTGACAGATTAGGTACAATCTAATAAACTAAAGCTGGATTTGCTGCCGAAATTTGGATGCATAACGGAAACCCCAAAAACTGGATTAACAGGGCCAGAATTGAATGCATAACGAAATCCAAAAAAATCCTGAATCCTTCAGTTTAGAAAAAGGAGGTTTGAGCAATGATGCAGCACATTGCAGCGCAAAAGCTTCTATGGCTTCGATTTTAAAAGTGGCTTACAAGGGAGGGTATCTAACTTAGCTCGGCTTTTTGGAAAGTGATTTATATATTCTTATATATTCTATATTATTCAGCATCAAACGCTGATTCCAAGTGTGCTATTCCTAGCTGCGGTGCTTCAGTCTAAAGCTAGTTACAGCACTTTCTGTGCAAACTGTACTCACTGACACCATCATCACCTAATGCTAATACACTTGCGTTAAGCTTCTTTTTAGTGGGAAAAGTTTGGACTTGTGTTGTTTCGATATTTCTTGCAGATTTTCATCCACAGGTAGTCTTCCCATATTCGGTAGTATGCCAAACTTGCGCGGAAAAAAGCCCATTACTCACTTCGAAATAGTGCGCCGCAGCTAGGAGTAGCATAATTGAAATCCATTTGTAGTTGATTAAGAATATATATGTTACTTGCCAAAAGGCAAAGCTAAGTTAGGTGGCCTTCCTTATTAGCTGCAACCCATTTTTTTCATTTTTTGTTGACTCGTATAAAGTCATAAGAAGATCCAGAGATCGGATAGTAAAACCAAATACCGCTTTTATATAGTGTAATGCATCCAGACTTTGCATAAGTTATGGGGGCATGTCGGAATTATTTTGAAACGATTTATAAGCGATTGATGCTTTTCGTTGCCGACAAAATTTGCTTCTGTCAGTTGTGTGAGAAGAAAGTATATTGAAAACCCTACGTGATGTCCAAAGCACTTTGTCGTAGTTTCGATCTTTTGAGTTGAATTATTGATTTCATTTCTTATCGATTTTCTAAAATGTACTATAAAACACTGTTTCTGATGTACATAACAAAGGGCATATTCTGCAAACTAATACATTACTAATAGCAGGTGAAGCGTGGAGGAAAGCCCGAGTACCGATCCCATAGAAAAGACCAACGGAGAATGGCTCCCGGCATCCCATTGCAATGATCTTACCAGAGGAAGTAAAGAACACTCCTCTCTGCTCCGCGGAGGTTGTATCATAATAAACGGGAGATCATGACACTCCCGGTTTCAAGTGTTTATTTATGATTTTCATGCCGAACTTTGTACCTCCCGCCGCTTATATGTTACTTAAGGTACAACAACGTCAATAACAACCTAACTTCAAGAAGTGATAACTGACATGAAACTCTGAATATGAGACACCGCAGTACGAGAAATTCTTTCATAAAAAGATCTTTTTGATACTTAGCAAGAGGAGACGAGCTTGTCGGTGTGGGCGTTGTAGTATTGTTGTCCTTTTGCGGTGCAGTGATGATGTTAAGTGAGCACGACAATTTTTTCATCATCTTCTTCTTTCCTTTTTGTCCATCTTTTCTCTTTTTCTTTTTTCTCCCTTTTCTTTTTCTTCCTCCCGTTTCTTGTTCAGCATTCGTTTCAGTATATTACCGATGCATGATTACATCATTTACACCTTGCTTTTTTGTTCCTCACAATTTGATTTTTCTCCTTACTATCGAATTAGGGTACTAGAATAAATCGGCCATTACATTTCTTACGGTTATTTCGAATCTATCATTACAATCAGTGACGATTGAAACAAACAGTTACGTTAAAATTCCAGGGTTAGACCTAATCACAAAGTTACAATTCCAAGCAGCTGAGGTACAAGGTTACAATTTCAAGTACAACTAAATTACAAAGTTACAGTTTCAAAGTCAAACATGAATTACAAAGTTACAAGCACCATTACAATTTCAAGAATACAAAGAAATTACAGTCTTAAAAATTGCAGTTATAATTACCCAAATACTTGCTCGTCATATAAAATTCAAAAGAGCAAAACTCTGAGTGATACTGGCCTCCTGGTTTCTTCCTCCTCTTTCGCAATGATAGCAAAATGATTCCATTGAGCAGGAAGTCCCGGGATGACCAGCGTGTTTCAGGCATCATTCACATTTCTTCAATTCCTGTATATGTATGAATATCTTCCTTCCAGACTTCTGTACCTTTTACAGTCTCTCAATGCTCCACCGAACACAGGGTACACAAT